ACAATGAATCCAATCCCATAAAGTCCTGGGGTCTCGCCTATATGGTAAAACAAGTAATCTGGATAAGATATGATATTTTCACCCATTCTTCTAACTTCGCTGAGGCCAACAATGTCCCATTTGATATGTTTTAACGCATACATTAGTTCCTTAAAATTTTCTTCATTTTTCAGGGTAAGTATATTGAGAGCTGCGATGTATATTTTTTGTTTGTGGTTTTTTATATTAATGTTGTTGATTTTGTTGTTTGATGTTGGAGGGTTGTGGTCTTTTTCCCCCACGAGGACCAGTCGGCTTGGGGGAGATTGGTATATTTGTATTTCGTTGTTGCCAGTTTCTTCGGTTGGCTTAGGTTTCCGTTTGCCGATTCTTAATTGTTATTGTTTTTTGTTCATTTGTATATTAGAAAGAGAGTTGGATCTAGACCTCATCATATCAAAAGCATTCGTCCTGTTTGACTTGATTTAAGATACAGTCTGTTGTTTTTTAGTTTGGTTATTATAAGCGGACGATGACGCAGATGATTCTCTTTTTCTTTTCTCTTGGCCATTTTTATTCTCTCTAACTATTAGTTTATCATATTTTAAGTATGCTATATTGCCTTTATTTCTCTCTTCAGTTAGCTTAGCTTGTAGCTTTTTCCTTTTTTCTAACACTTCCTTTGAGTAGTCTTCACTGATATTAATTTTCTTCAAGTTCTTTTTATTTTTTAAAATTTTGTTCTTTTTCCAATTACTTGTTAATGAGCATAGTACCGGCCTCGGCTTGTTATTTTCTTTGTTTTTAGTTCCTAAGCGATGGATTTTATTGACCTCGTAATCTTCTATATTAATATTAAGATCATATTTCAGATTTTCCTTGAATTCTTGTAGTAATTCGGAAGTTGAAGTTTCTTTTTCTTCTAGGCCAAAATACTATAATATTGTTGTTCTTCTCCCCTCTTTTTAGAAACTCTATTTCTTTTTCTAATTTTTGTACTTTATTGTTTGGGTTTTTGTTTTCTTCCACTAAAGGAATTAATTTCTCTTTCATTTTATCCATAATACTTTGTGTGATGGAATCCTTCAGTTCAGCAGTTTGGTTTTGCATCTCAATTTTCATTTTGTCAAATAAAATTTGAAATTGGCCTTCCATTGTATTATTTTAAAGATATGATTGCGTATAATGGAACGTTAAAGTAGCAAAAGGTTGAAGTTCTGTTTGCAGTTGGCAACACTGAGTGTAAGCTAATGTCACAAATGTCAGTTTCTTTGCGGTTAGCGGTTACTAAATAAATTACAATTTCAATTGATCCCAAAAATTCTGCTAATTAAGGTGGCTTTGATCTTGGCGTCACATGAACTGTGTGCAATTCTGGCTGTTTCCAACTGCACCACACTTGTCTTAAATCTATTTGTTGAAATAAGTGCTTAATTTATAGCTTTATTATAAGTTATTATGATGATTAATGTTGCAAATATTTTTTTGGAACTATTTAAGTGAATCAGCACTGAGTCTTTTAAATTAGAAAGTCATTTAATAACTTTTCATTGATGGAATGTCTAGTACTTTAAATTGTAATCGTAATATTAGCACTTATTGCCCACTTTTACGGTTATTTACTCTTTTTCGCTTGTGTTCACTTCACACACCCAATAGCTGTTTACACAATACCTATTCTATTTTGTTAATTTATTTGTGTTGCGGTTATACATCCGATTCCAACGGTATTTACTGAACATTAACAGTTTGAATAACATTGGTTATCATTTCCTTCGTAATAGTGTGAAGTGTTTATTGATTGATCCTGTTAATAATGAGCAGGGTCCAAAGTCCAATTTCTCATTCAAAGAACGTCCATGACTTTTAAATAAAATTAACGGTCGATTATATGCACTGTTTATATTGTTAGTGTTTTTGTTACACTTACTGCACTAGATCATTGATTTTACACTGTACTATTGTTGTTTTGTTGTATACATAATCGTTTATTCTATTATTCTTGTGTTTTTGTTCACTGTTTGTTTATAAGCACTGTGTTAAAGTTAAAATTGTTTATCACTCATTTGAACAGTTTCACAATATGTTATGCTGTGAGAACGATATGACGTATTTATTATGTTTAAATGTACTTTTCTAGGGCTAATAATCACTTAAAAATAGCAATAATTCTTTTTAAAACCTTTTTGAACACAGAGCCGATGTTAACACGACCGACAGTCCGATCCGTTTCGAAGAAAATCGAGATATTTAAAAGAAAAACGAACGAAAATACATATATAACAAATAACTACCCGCATAAAAATTATAATCAAAAGGCAAAGAGGAAGATACACTTTCTAAAATTCAATCATTGTGGACGTAAAGGACACGTTAAAAATGATTGTTTTTATTTCAAGAGAGTGAATAAGAGTAAAGTTTCCGACAGAAGCAGGACTGTTCAGTCGGTAGTTATGACCGAACCAACTACTGCTGATGAACAGCCTAGATTTGCTTTTATGGCCGGTAAAAATGAGAAGAGTATTCATAATGACCGAATCACATTCCTGTTGGACTCTGGAGCGTCAGACCACATTATAAACAGGGATGATTTTTTTATTAACTACACTATCTTACTAATTCCAATTAAAATTTCAGTTGCTAAAGTTGGCGAATTTATTATAGCTACAAAAAGAGGAACAATAAAAGTTACCAGTGACATGGGTATTGATGGAATTTTGGAGGATGTATTATTCTGCCCTGAGGTTCCATATAACTTACTGTCTGTTTCCAAGATACAAAGAGCTGGATTGACAATTATTTTTGATCAAGATCGAGCTCATATATTCAAGGATGGTAAGACATTAATTAATGGTAAGTTTTTAAACAATTTAATTGCTATAGATTTTCTAGTGTATGTAACTACTGACGGTTTCGTTTCCCAAGTATGCACTAGTAATAATTATGAGCTATGGCATCAACGCTTAGGACATATTAGTAAAAATAAATTCTTAGAATTAAAAAGTAACAACATCATTGATAATATAAATGAAATTGAAACAATATTTCCAATTGATATGTTATGTGAGGCATGCATAAATGGGAAACAATCGCGTCTACCTTTTAATAATATTAAAGATACAAGTTATGTGAAACGACCATTATATATTGTGCATTCCGACGTATGTGGACCTATCACTCCTTCGACCGTAGATAATAAAAAATATTTTGTGATATTTCTTGATCAATATATCCATTACTGTACCGTATACCTGATATCATATAAGTCAGATGTATTCTCAGTTTTTAAAGATTATATCGCAAGCCTTATTTACGATATTATCAATACAAAAACCATAAACTTACATGTGATAAGTAATTCCGCATGATTTATTATGGTTTTGGTTACGGTAATTACTCATCTATGTAAGTATTATATCAATGGCAAAAAGTCTAAAAATACATATGGTATTTAAAGTACTATCCTCTAACTCCTAACCGTTCAGGAGTTGTATCTTCCATCGCCAGCTCATCCACACGAGATAATGACTACCAGATGAAATATGTATATGTAACACATAATACATGCCTATAGAGGGTTGCCTTCGATTTTTCTGGGATCCCCTCATCAGATCCTGACCTCGTCAGAGTGAGACTACCTCACGGCAAAATGATTTCTAATAAATAAGGAATTTTGGGAATCGGCCCAAAATTGACGAAGTAAACAGTGAACATAAATAATATATAAATAATATATATATATATATATATATGTATAGTGAAACATACTGTCGTCCTTACGAAAACTGCAATAAATCGAGTTTTTGGTCGAATTGAGTTAAGTACATATTCGGAATCAGCAGAACGAGATCTATATAAACACTTTAGACAGTTTTTACGTAACTATGACGGAGCCGGTTTCAATACTAAGTATCAAGGTCCTTGTATTATAATTTACTTATGAAGACCGACATAACAATAGATAGGAATAAGTTCGTTACGGTATTAAGTAATTTTACTAACTATATCTGGAATAACTATAGTTATTCATTTATTACTTGTAAGTGCAATATGTTTGAGTTATTGCAAATATGTTAAGGATTCTTATTACTGATTAAAAATTGAGGTAATAAGTAGATATATTGCACTTATTTGTAGGAAGAATAAGCAAATACAATATACTTACTCGGAATAAAGTGCAATAAATTCACCATTTATTTATTTTATTTATTTATTTATTTATTAGGCCACCAACGGCGAGTACACTATTACAATGTATTTATAAACATATGAATTTGAAGTTACCTTAGGGTAGGTAGGGAAGGCATGGGGTGCTAGCTAGAAAACCTCCCCGTGGTGCACCCTGGAAACGCTGGCGATGGTACTGTTTCCTCCTTGTCCTCTTGGAGGAGAGGATTATCGCCAGCGGCTAATATTCTAGCAGAAGAGGTAGCCGTTCATCGGCTCTCGGGCAAGGCCTGGTCCAGCAGGGTGGGCGTGTCTGCCGGTTGCCCTGCTGGCTCTTCGCTCTTTGGAGCATGGAGGAGGAAACCTCGGTAAAAAACCAGAAGGTGGGGCCCTATAGGGGCCAGTTTCTCCGCTGTTAGCGGTGGAGAGAGGAGGACGGGCTCGGCGTGTACTGACACTACCACCGAGCAGGCAGGGAGACGTAGTCTCCTTGTCACCGTCGGCATATCGTAATCCCGAGAAGAGCGCTGTGGTCAAGTCTCGCGGCTCTGATCGGGGACGAGGGTCTTGGCTTAACCGCCCGGACCGCGAGGATGTAAACCTCTCTAAAAAATGCCCCGAATCCCGTGTTCTGGTGCGTGGCCAGGGGATGCATGGCTGATGGGTAGTTCAGTCGTAAGCGCACTCCCAGCCGGGGCACTTGCGGACCCCTCGGTTGGGCATAAATTTACGCTTACCCGGGTATTGGGGGATCTCTGCCCGGGTGGACCTTTAGTTCTCCCCCACTCGTGGGTTTAATTATGGCAGATGATAAATTCAATTAAAACAAAGGATCGATTAATCAAATAACAAAAATGGCGAGCAAAATGGCAACCGAAACGGTGGGAAGCAAGGAGCTGAAGAGGACTGGTGGAGTGGATTCGTCGTCCACATCCACAAGTGAGGTGGTGTCGAGAACACCTATCTCGGTGGGGCTCCCAGTAGTAGTCTGTAGTAGACTGACTGCTGGGAGCCGAAGATCGGAGCGCTTGCGCTCAAAATCTGCCACGGCTGGCGAGAGTGGCGTCTCCAGCGAGAGCATGGAGTTGGAAGCGGGACCGAGCGAGAGCCGGAAACGCGAGCTCTCGCGGGATGGGGAAGACAACCCATCCGTTGAGTCTGGGCCTCCTAAGGGCGGCCGCATAGGGAGGTCGCGTACCCCTGTCCCCGTCCCGTCAGGCTCCGCCTTCTCCAAGGCGGATTCCTATAGACGGGTACGAGCGGACGGCGAGGCCGCAGCGGAGGAGGAGATCGCGGGTCTCCTGCTCAAAATTCGGGAGCCGGTGGAGGGAGATGCCCCCCGGGCTCCCGTGTCTGTGCAGGAGAGGGCGAGAGCGGCGGTGGCTATCATACAGAAGGTAGCCACCAAGTCGCTTAACCTAAAGGGCTCTTTTGTGAGGGCCCTTAAGGACTCCTCCTCCGCCATGTCGGAGGTCGTGGAGGGCCTAGTAGGCGACGTGTCTCGCCTACAGATGGCCAATGACAGGCTGACGGAGCAGGTGAACGGGCTGAGCGCTCAGTTCGCCCGCTTCTGGGCGAACCTCCCCGGCCCCGTCCACGCCCCAGCCTGTCCCTACCGCGACCTCAGGGGTGCCTGACGCCCAACTGCGGTCAATTCTTGAAGCAGTTGGGCGTATGCTGGACGGCCGTCTGGCCGGTCTGGAGGCGAGACTGCCTCCTGCGCCGGTCGTGCGCCCCCCGCTCGCGTCGTCGCAGCGGCCTGGGGCCGCGGCTCCGACTGCGCTCCCCGTAGTGGGAGGCCGCGTGTCCTACGCGGCGGCGGCGTCGGCCCCGACTCCACCGGCTCCCCAGGGGCCGAGGAAGGGGGCCAAGGCACCGGCCCAGGCACCGGCCAAGGCGCCGGCCCAGGCACCGGCCAAGGCGCCGGCCCAGACTAAAGCGGCGAAGAGGAGCGGAGTGGCTTTCCCTCCGCTCCCCGCTCCGACATCCCTGCCGGGCCCCTCCGCACCTGCCCCCTCCAACGAGGGTTGGCAGGAGGCGAGGGGCTCAAAGAAGTCCCGAAGGCGGGCTAGAAGGGCTGCTCAGAAAGCAGCCCAAGCCCAGCCTTCGCCACCGGTGGCAACGGCCTCAAAAAAGAGGCCGCGGAAGCTGCAGCCGCCCAAAACCGCGGCTGTAGTCGTGACGCTGTCGCCGGAGGCGGCCAGTGGCGGGCTCACGTATGCGGCCCTCTTCAAGGGGGCCCGGCCCGGTCTCGCCACTGAGTTCGGGGAGGCGGGGATGAGGCTGCGCCGCGCCCAGACGGGAGCTCGGGTCTTCGAGTTCCCTGGGGCTGAAGGCGCGGCGACGGCCAACAAATTCGCCGAGAAGTTGCGGGGAATTTTCGCCGCCACGGACGGTGTTAATATCGCCAGGCCCACCAAATGCGCAGAACTGCGCATCTCGGGCCTGGACGACTCCATCACGTCGGAGGATGTCCGCGATGCAGTCATGGAGAAGACTGGGTGCACCGCGGACACCATCAGAGTCGGCACCGTCCGTCCGGGCCCGGGAGGCCTCGGTGCGGTGTGGGTGAGCTGTCCCGTGGCGTCGGCCAAAGCACTGGGCGACGCCGGAAGCATTCTCGTCGGCTTCGTAAATGCCAGAATCACGATTCTGGCCGCGAGGCCGATGAGGTGCTTCAAGTGCCTAGCCGCGGGACACACTCGCACCAAGTGCGAGAGCTGTTTTGACTGCAGCGGATTATGCTTCCGCTGCGGTCAACCCGGGCACAAGGCGGCAGAGTGCTCTGCCGCCCCCCACTGCCCGGTGTGTGAGGCGGGCAAAAAGCCCGCCAATCACATGATGGGGCAGGGGGGCTGCAAGCCTCCCCGCGCTTCTCGGCAAACGCCGGGGGCTAGCCTGCCGACCCAGGCTACCCCCGACGTCAATATTGCGTCGACGCCGACGCCCATGGAGGAGGTTGTAGAGACGATCCAGTAATGGATCAAGTCTCCAACCTCCTGGTCCAGACGAATCTCAACCACTGTGCTGCGGCGCAGGATCTCTTCCTGCAAACCATGGCACAGTGGTCGATAGGTGTTGCCGTAGTCGCGGAGCCCTACTTTGTTCCTCCCCGTCCAAACTGGATGGGTGACCGGGACGGCTCCGTGGCAGTCGTCGGCTCCACGGCGGCTCATTCCCCGCCCTTGTCGCTAAGAGACAAGGGTACTGGATATGTTGCCGCCGATTGGGGGGGAATCACCATTTATGGTGTATATTTCTCCCCCAACCGGAGTTTGAACGACTTCGAGGTCTTCCTTAACAACTTGGAGGCCTCGATGCGGCGACTAGTGTCTGGGCACGTCCTCGTGCTGGGGGACTTCAACGCAAAGTCCATTGCGTGGGGTTCCCCTGCGACGGACGCCAGGAGCGAAGCCGTCGAGGAGTGGGCGGCGTCGGTGGGCCTCTGTTTGCTGAACAGAGGCTCCACCAACACGTGCGTGCGACAGCAGGGGGGGTCGATAGTGGACCTTTCGTTCGCTACCCCTGCAGTTGCCGCACGAGTAAGGAACTGGTGTGTCCTGGAAGAGGTCGAGACGCTCTCGGATCATTTGTACATCCGATTCGAGCTCTCCCGGTCCCAGGACCCCAGTAGGGGTCACGCGGCGCGGCGCCCTTCCCGCTTCCCGCGGTGGGCTGTCGCCAAGCTCGACAGGGACCTACTAGAGGAGGCGGCCATTATTCACTCTTGGCTGTCTCCGCAGGCCCCGACCGAGGAGGTCGACATGGGGGCTGGTCGCTTCTGCCATGCGATTACGCAGATTTGTGATGCGGCCATGCCCCGCGTTCGTGGTTGTCGGCCTCCAAGGAAGGAGGTCTACTGGTGGTCCCAGGAGTTGGCGGACCTCCGTGCGGCCTGTGTACGTGCCCGGAGGTCCCTCACCCGTAGTCGGCGACGTCACCGCGGGGTCGGTGAGGAGGTGGACCGGCTTCATGAGGAGTACCGAGAAGCTCGGAAAACTCTGAGGCTGGCCATCTGCCGCGCCAAGGATGCGTGTAGAGAGGAGATGCTGGAGAGTCTCGAGCGTGACCCCTGGGGTCGCCCTTATCGTGCGGTGCGTCAAAAGCTCCGCACGTCGGGCCCCCCCCTTACGGAGACTCTCCAGCCCAGCTTCCTGCAGGAAGTGGTCGAGGGCCTATTCCCGCAGCGGGCGGAGCACACGCCCCCGTCGATGGCTGCATCAGCCGGAGACGACGGAGGCAGCGAGGGTGATGTTCCGCCCGTCAGGGAATCGGAGTTGGGGGCGGCTGTTCTACGGATTCGATCCAAGAACACCGCCCCCGGGCCGGACGGGGTTCCAGCCCGAGTGATGGCCCGAGCCCTCGACTACATGTCGGACCACCTCAGGGGGGTGTTGGACGCTAGCCTGGCGTCCGGACGCTTCCCTGAGCGCTGGAAATGCGGGAAGCTGGTCCTGCTGCAGAAGCCGGGACGGCCTGCCGATTCGGTCGCGGCCTATAGGCCTATCGTGTTGCTGGACGAGGCGGGCAAACTTTTTGAGAGGGTGCTCTCTGCCCGCATCGTCCGGCACCTTTGCGAGGTTGGCCCCGATCTGTCGGACGCCCAATTCGGTTTCCGAGAGGGGCGTTCGACGATCGATGCCGTAATGCGCCTTAGGGCCGTGACCGAGGAGGCCGTGAGCTGCGGCGGAGTGGTGTTGGCGGTGTCCTTGGACATCGCCAACGCCTTCAATAGTCTGCCATTCAGCTGCATCAGGGAAGCGCTCCGCTACCACGGAGTGCCGGAGTACCTGAGGCGGCTGGTGGCAGACTATCTTGAGGAGCGAACGGTCATGTACGAGGACCGAGATGGCGTCTTGAGACGCAGGGCCATGTCGTGTGGTGTTCCGCAGGGGTCTGTCCTAGGACCTCTCCTGTGGAACATCGGGTACGACTGGGCCCTACGAGGGCGTCTCCCCCCCGGGCTGGGTGTAATCTGCTACGCGGACGACACCTTACTCACGGCCCGGGGGGCTAACTTCCAGGAGGCGGCGCGCCTGGCCGCCACGGGAGTTTCCCTGGTGGTCGGGCGCATTGAGGCGTTGGGTTTGCGGGTGGCCCTGGATAAGACGGAGGCCCTATTATTTCATGGGCCCCGTCGTGGTCCGCCCGCCGGCGCCTCAATCGAGGTCGGCTCGGTCCTCGTACCGGTCCGGGCCCAGATGAGGTACCTGGGTCTGGTCCTAGACGGTAGGTGGCTCTTCGACGAGCACTTCCGACAGCTTGGTCCGAAGCTGACCGCCCCGAATAGGGCGCGCCTCTGGCGCCCCCAGAGGATATTGGCGGTCAGAGCCATACGCGGATACCGCACGGTGTCCACCGAGGCGGCTTGCGCCTTGGCCGGAACACCCCCGTGGGATTTGGAGGCGGAAGTGCTCGCCGAAGTTTATCGGCGAGTGGCTGACTTCCGGGCGGAGAGCGGATTTCGCCCTCCGCCCGAAGACGTGCGCGAGTGGCGCGAAGCCGCTCGCCGAGCCACTATGGTGAGATGGTCGTTCCGGCTGGAGACTCCACGCGCTGGCTTCGCCGCCGTGGAGGCTCTCCAGCCGGTCATCGCCGAGTGGGCAGGGCGGCAGCACGGGACCCTTTCCTTCCGGCTGACGCAGGTGCTTTCCGGGCACGGTTGCCTCGGAAAGTACCTGTACTTGGTCGCTAGGGGGGAATCGAGTCCCGCCTGCCACCACTGCGACTGCGGTGAGGATTCGGCCCAGCACACGCTGGCGGTTTGCCCCGCATGGGCGACGCAGCGCCGGGCCCTCACTGCAGTCATCGGAGCGAATCTCTCGCTGCCGGCCGTAATTCGCTCCATGGCCGGTAGCGACAGTTGTTTTACCGCGGTCGCAACCTTCTGCGAGGAGGTAATCTCGCAGAAGGAGGCGGCGGAGAAGGCCCGGGAGGACGACCTCCACTCGGACCTGATCCGCCGCCGGCGAACCGGGCGGCGGAGGCGCGCTCACCTGCGCCTCATGCCGCCCTGAGTGTGGCCGCGGGTGGACGGGATGGGTTCTCCCCTCCACCCGCATTAGTTGGCCAGCCGCGAGGGGGCGGCGTCCGCGTGTGCCGGACGCCGCCTAAAGAGAGGGTCCACTGAGACGGAGCCCGCGCCAGGAGCGGGCCGGCGCTGGGAGGGGTCCAGAAGGAGATAGCTACCTGGACCCCTCCTAAACTGGAAGCGCAAAGAGGGCACACCGTGTGGTTTTAGTCGGTTCGAGTCCGACACACCGCCCCGCCGAACGAGAGCCCCGGCGGGGTGACGGTCCGAGGGGATTTCCACACGTAAAAAAAAAAAAAAAAAAAAAAAAGGTAGGGAAGGCATGGGGTGCTAGGCTAGAAAACCTCCCCGTGGTGCACCCTGGAAACGCTGGCGATGGTACTGTTTCCTCCTTGTCCTCTTGGAGGAGAGGATTATCGCCAGCGGCTAATATTCTAGCAGAAGAGGTAGCCGTTCATCGGCTCTCGGGCAAGGCCTGGTCCAGCAGGGTGGGCGTGTCTGCCGGTTGCCCTGCTGGCTCTTCGCTCTTTGGAGCATGGAGGAGGAAACCTCGGTAAAAAACCAGAAGGTGGGGCCCTATAGGGGCCAGTTTCTCCGCTGTTAGCGGTGGAGAGAGGAGGACGGGCTCGGCGTGTACTGACACTACCACCGAGCAGGCAGGGAGACGTAGTCTCCTTGTCACCGTCGGCATATCGTAATCCCGAGAAGAGCGCTGTGGTCAAGTCTCGCGGCTCTGATCGGGGACGAGGGTCTTGGCTTAACCGCCCGGACCGCGAGGAAGATAACCTCTCTAAAAAATTCCCCGAATCCCGTGTTCTGGTGCGTGGCCAGGGGATGCATGGCTGATGGGAAGTTCAGTCTCGAGCGCACTCCAAGCCGAGGTACCTGCGGACCCCTCGGTTGGGTTAAAAACTTACGCTTGCCCGGGTAATGGGGGATCTCTGCCCGGGTGGACCTTTAGTTCTCCTCCACTCGTGGGATTTAATATGGATAACATTCAAAACCTAAAACAACAAAAAACGATCGGAAATAACCAACAACAGAAGGCAAGTCTAACGGAAACGAAGAAAACGAAGGGAAGGAAGGAGAAGCAGAACAGTGGAGTGGATGGGTCGTCAACTGAGGGCGAGATGGTGTCGGGAACGCCTATCTCGATGGGGCTCCCAGAGGTCAGTCTGACTCTGGTCTCTGGGAGCCGAAGAGCATCGGATCGTATTCGTTCCGGATCCGCCGTTTCATCGGATGGCCCGGAGGCCATGGAAGCGGAGCGAAGCGACAGCCGGAAACGCGGACGCTCCAGGGAAGAGGAGACCGACACGTCCGGCGAAATGATGCCACCAAAAGTGGCAAGCAGCCGCCGAGGGAGGCCTCGAAAACCGGCCTCGGTCTCGACCCCGTCAGGCTCCGCGTTCTCAAACGCGGAGTCGTACAGAAGCGTACGGGTGGACGGCGAGGCCGTAGCGGAGGAGGAGATCGCGGATCTCCTGCTCTAGGTTCGGGAGCCGGTGGGGGGAAATGCCCCCCAGACTCCCGTGTCCGTGCAGGAGAGGGCGAAAGCGGCGGTGGCCGTCATCCACAAGGTGGCCACCAAGTCCGTTAACCTTAAGGGCTCGTTTGTGAGGGCCCTTAAGGACTCCTCCTCCGCTTTGTCGGAGGTCGTGGAGGGCCTAGTGGGCGATGTGTCGCGCCTGCAGTTGGCCAACGAGAGGCTGACGGAGCGGGTGAACGAGCTGAGCGCTCAGTTCGCCCGCTTCCAGGCGAACCTCCCCGAGCGGGAAGCCCCGTCCGCGTCCCAGCCTGCCCCTACAACCAACTCAGGGGCATTTACCTCCCAACTGCGTGAAATCCTCATCGCAGTTGGGAATATGCTGGACGGACGCCTGGCTGGCCTGGAGGCGAGACTGCCCCCTGCGCCGGTTGTGCGCCCCCCGCTCGCGTCGGCACAGCGGCCTAAGGCCGCCGCTCCGACCGCGCTCCCCGTAGTGGGAGGCCGCGTCTCTTTCGCGGCGGCGGCGTCTGCCCCGACTCCATCGGCTCCCCAAAAGCCGAGGAGGGGGGCCAAGGCACCGGCCCAGGCGCCGGCCAAGGCACCGTCCCAGGCGCCGGCCAAGGCGCAGGCCAAAGTGCCGGCCAAGACGGGGCCTAAAACGGCGCCGAGGAGCGGAGTGGCATTCCCTCCGCTCCCCACTCCGACACCCCTGCCGGGCCCCTCCGCACCTGCCCCCTCCAACGAGGGTTGGCAGGAGGCGAGGGGCTCCAAGAAGTCCCGAAGGCGGGCCAGAAGGGCTGCCCAAAAAGCAGCCCAAGCCCAACCTTCGCCACCGGTGGCAACGGCCTCTGCAAAGAGGCCGCGGAAGCTGCAGCCACCCAAAACCGCGGCTGTAGTGGTGACCGTGTCCCCGGAGGCGGCTGACGGCGGGCTGTCCTACGCGGCCGTTTTTAAAAAGGCCCGGGACAGCCTCGCCAACGATTTTGGGACGGTGGGGGTCAAGATGCGCCTCGCCCAAACGGGAGCTCGAGTTCTCGAGTTCCCAGGGGCTGAAGGCGCCAAGACGGCGGACACTTTCGCTGAGAGGCTGCGGGGTTTATTCGCGACCACAGATGGTGTCAAGATCGCCAGGCCTACCAAGTGCGCGGAGCTGCGCATCTCGGGCCTGGACGACTCTGTGACGGCCGAAGATGTCCGCGCTGTAATCCGGGAGAAGACGGGGTGCAGCGCGGACAACGTCAGGGTCGGCACCATCCGCCCCGGTCCAGGGGGGCTTGGCGCCGTGTGGGTCAGCTGTCCCGTAGCGTCGGCCAAAGTATTGGCCGACGCCGGCAGGCTGCTCATCGGTTTCGTGAGCGCCAGGATCACAGTCCTGGCGGCGAGACCGATGAGGTGTTTTAAATGCCTGGCCACGGGACACACGCGCGTCAAGTGCGATAGCTGTTTTGACTGCGGCGGACTGTGTTTCCGCTGCGGTCAACCGGGGCATAAGGCGGCAGAATGCTCTGCCGCCCCTCACTGCCCAGCGTGTGCGGCGGGCAATAAGCCCGCCAATCACCAGATGAGGCAGAGAGGCTGCAAGCCTCCCCGCAGTTCTCGGCAGACGTCAGGGGCTAGCCAGTCGACCCAGGCTATCCCCGACGTCAATATTGCGTCAACGTCGTCGCCCATGGAGGAGGTTGTAGAGACGATCCAGTAATGGATCAGGTCTCCAACCTCCTGGTCCAGACGAACCTGAACCACTGTGCCGCGGCGCAGGATCTCTTCCTGCAAGCCATGGCACAGTGGTCGATAGGTGTTGCCGTAGTCGCGGAGCCCTATTTTGTCCCTCCCCGTCCAAACTGGATGGGTGACTGGGACGGCTCCGTGGCAGTCGTCGGTTCCACGACGGCTCATTCCCCGCCCTTGTCGCTAAGAGACAAGGGCACTGGATATGTTGCCGTCGAGTGGGGGGGGATCACCATATATGGTGTTTATTTCTCCCCCAACCGGAGTTTGAACGACTTCGAGGTTTTCCTAACCAGCTTGGAGACCTCGATACGGCGACTAGCGTCTGGGCACGTCCTTGTGCTGGGGGACTTCAACGCAAAGTCCATTGCGTGGTGTTCCCCCAGGACGGACGCAAGGGGCGAGGCCGTAGAGGAGTGGGCGGCCTCGGTGGGCCTCTGTCTTCTCAACAGAGGCTCCACCAACACGTGCGTGCGACAGCAGGGGGGGTCGATAGTGGACCTTTCGTTCGCTACCCCTGCCCTCGCCGCACGAGTAAGGAACTGGCGTGTCCTGGAAGAGGTTGAGACGCTCTCGGATCATCTCTATATCCGATTTGAGCTCTCCCGGACCCAGGACTCCAGTAGGGGTCAGGTGGCGCGGCGTTTATCCCGCTTTCCGCGGTGGGCTATTGCCAGACTGAACCGGGACCTACTAGAGGAGGCAGCCATAATTCACTCGTGGCTGTCTCCTCAGGCTCCGACCGAGGAGGTCGACGTGGGGGCTGGTCGCTTTCGCGATGCGATTACGCATATCTGCGATGCGGCCATGCCCCGCATTCGAGGTCGTCGGCCTCCAAGGAAGGAGGTCTACTGGTGGTCCCAGGAGCTGGCGGACCTCCGTGCGGCCTGTACACGTGCCCGGAGGTCCTACACGCGCAGTCGGCGGCGTCACCGTGGAGACGGTGAGGAGGACCGGCTTCATGAGGAGTACCGACAGGCGCGGAAAACTCTGAAGCTGGCCATTAGCCGCGCCAAAGAAGAAAAGAGACAGGAGATGCTGGAGGGTCTTAATCGTGACCCCTGGGGTCGCCCTTACCGCGCGGCGCGACAAAAGCTCCGCGCGTCGGTCTCGGTCGGTGGGATATGGAGGCGGAAGTGCTCGCCGAAGTTTATCGGCGAGTGGCTGACTCCCGGGCGGAGAGCGGATTTTGCCCTCCGCCCGAGGATGTGCGCGAGTGGCGCGAAGCCGCTCGCCGAGCCACGATTGCTCGTTGGTCGTTCCGGCTGGAGACTCCACGCGCTGGCTTCGCCGCCGTGGAGGCTCTCCAGCCGGTCATCGCCGAGTGGGCAGGGCGGCAGCACGGGACCCTTTCCTTCCAGCTGCCGCAGGTGCTTTCCGGGCACGGTTGCTTCGGAAAGTACCTACACTCGGTCGCTAGGAGGGAACTGAGTCCCGCCTGCCACCACTGCGACTGCAGTGAGGACTCGGCCCAGCACACGCTGGCGGTCTGCCCCGCATGGGCGGCGCAGCGCCGGGCCCTCACCGCAGTCATCGGAGTGGATCTCTCGCTGCCGGCCGTAGTACGCTCCATGGCCGGTAGCGACAGTTGTTTTACCGCGGTCGCAACCTTCTGCGAGGTAGTAATCTTGCGGAAGGAGGCGGCGGAGAGGGCCCGGGAGGACGACCTCCACTCGGACCCGATCCGCCGCCGGCGAACCGGGCGGCGGAGGCCCGCCTATCACAGCCTCATGCCGCCCTGAGTGTGGCCGCGGGTGGACGGGGTGGGT